TCAGTTCACGCTGCAGTTGGACGAATCAACAGATATTAGCGGGGAGGCGCGTTACAAAGAAGAGTCTGACATGAATGAGCGAAGCTTACGGGGAAGACTACCGGTGAGTATATTTTTTAAGTGATAGTTTTTCCAAGGACAGCGATCTGGATTGGGAATCGAGCAGTCCCCTATGTACTGACGGGGCAGCAGCGATGGCGGGGAGAGGGCAGCGGCTGCGCGGGCCTGTCGAGAAGGTAAACCCGACACAGAGCGGACGCACTGCGTTATTCACAGGGAGGCGTGGGCCAGTAACAGAATAGTCCCCGAGTTAAGTGCTGTTTTGAACGATGCAGTTAAATTGATAAACTTCGTCCAGCCCAGGCCTGTGAGTCACAGATTGTTTCAAAGTCTTTGTCAAGACATTGGATCAGAGCATGAGCAGCTGCTGCTTCATACTGATGTCCGGGGGCTATACCCTGGCAAAACACTCGTGAGACTGCACTTCGCACTGAGGTATGTGCTTTTCTCAAGGAGCACCTGCACCCCCTTGCTACACTGTCTGAGCACCCAGAGTGGGTCAACTCAACCTTTCACTACAAGGTAAAGGCACACATCCTGAACATGTGTGACAAGGTGAATGGATTCATAAGGAAGGTCAAACTGCGAGGGGAAATGTGAGGATTCAGATTTGAGCTGTTTCCCACTGCTTGATGCCTATCTTACCACCACTGACACAGATGGAGCTGCTGCAGTGAACATTGTGAAAGCACATGTGTCCAAACTCAACAGCGAGTTGAACTCATACTTCAGTGACATTGACACCAGGTCTGCTCAACTGGACCGGGTCAGGAACAGTGTCATTGTGACTGAGAGCAGCAGCAGCCTTCCTGCCAGACTGCAGGAACATCTGATGGATGTGTCCTCAGACCGTGGGCTGAAGATGAAACATGCAGACAAGACCCTGACACAGTTCTGGTGTGCTGTGGAAAAGAAATACCCTGAGGGGGAAATATGCACTTAAAGAACTTTTGCCCTTTGGATCTACCTATTTGTGTGAAGTGGCTTTCTCAGCTCTGATGCAAATCAAAACCAAGCATAGGAACAGACTCAATGTGTAGAACAGCCTGATTACAGCCATGGCCACACTGCCCCCAGAAACAGGCTCAGGTGTTGCATTAAAGGGAGATTAATCCACTAAGTGAGTCTGACTCTGTTTTTTTCACCCACAGCATCAATAATTGGTATTTTGGTTGAAAGTGAATCGTTATAATGATATCCAGTTTGATAATATTATTAATACATTTTAAATGAACTTATTTAACTTAAATTTCAGTTTAAACAAACAAATTTAGGATC